GGCGAAGGCTGAACACAGTTGGGGGGTTGATTTTCACCTGTGGTAGAACTCAATCGCAAATGACCCCCAGGGACTCAGGTTTCGAACGCAGTTCCCCAGCTGGTGGGTGGGGGGATTTTAGGAACTGTGGAACTTTGAGGAGGTGGGGTCTGGTTTTCAGGAGTCTGTTCCTGGCAGGTGGCCTTTGACAATCCAGCCTGACCCTTTGTCCCCGCGCCCTTCTCAGCTCCCAGTGTCCTCCTGGCAGCACAGACTAAGTTATCCTGCCCTGCCATCCTCACTGGCATGGTTTCCTGTAACTGTGAACCCAAGCGCTTTTTCTTTTGTCCTTTCTGCTTTTTTTTTTTCTCTGTCGACATTTTGGTCCCAACAATGAAAAGGCGACTAATATCACCCGTAGGAGGCAGGAAGGTCACTAAAGAGTGTGGGGACCCAAGAGTCGGCTGGGAAGTCTTACTAAAGCTTCATGTCCCCAAAGTGGAACCAGAAAAGCAGTAAACGTCACTCAAAATGATGTTAGTTACCCACCGTTCGGTAAACACAATAGGTTAAATTTTGTATTTGTCTCATCTGGTTTCTCTCCTTTAGTTCAGGATGCGATAAATATACCGTAGAACAGGAAGTTCACCCAACAGCCCGTTTCTCAATGTTTTGCAGGCTGAGCAGTCCAAGGCCAAAGGTACCCTTTGATCAAAGTTCCGGGTGAGGGTTTTCTTCCCAATTTGTCTAGGGCTGGCTTCCTTTGTCCTTACATGGTAGGGAGACCAAATCACTTCCTTAATGCTCCGTCAGAAACTGCCCTGCTGGCAGTTAGGGCTCTAACATGAATTTCAAGGAGGCACATATTCAGCCAACAGCAGCCTCAATCTGTGTCCGCAGAACAGCAGGAGGCACTGAGCACAGCTGGAATCATTTCTTTGTCACGTAATCAAGCATACATTGTTGGCGATCTCCATCAACAGCTTATGAAACAACACAATGAGACTGAATAGCAAACAACCCCCAAATCGCAGGGACTTCAATTAGGCATCATCTCTGCTCATGCTTCCTGGGCTGCAGGTCAGCTGCTGTCTGGTGGAGGAAGGCTGGGCTCAGCAAGGCAACCTTCTTCCCAGAATGCTCTGCTGTGCACATGCTCAGTGTGGGCGACTTTGTTTGGCCCTGCAGGTTTGAGTTCAGGTCTGTTTCACCTGCTTTTCATTCTATAAGAATCATCAGAGGGTCTAGAGCTGTTCTGGCTTATGTATGTGTGTGTGTGTGTGTGTGTGTGTGTGTGTTTATGTGTGTGTGTGTATATACATGTGTATATGTTAATGTGTGTGGATATATGTGCCCATGTATACATGTGTGTGGAGCACAGAGGTTCTGTCATCTGGCATCTTCCTGGACCATTTCCTATCTTAGCTGTTTTTTTTTTTCTCTTCTTCCTCCCTTCCTTTCTTTCTCTTCTTCCTTTCTTTCTTTCTTTCTTTCTTTCTTTCTTTCTTTCTTTCTTTTTATAAATATATGTGTTTATTTATTTTACATCTCAACTGCAGTTTCCCCCCCTCTTGTCCTCCCCATCTTCACCCTACCCTCCCTCTATTCCCAACCCCCAATCCACTCCTCCTCCACTTCTGCTTAGGAAAGGGCAGGTCTCTCATGAGTATCAATAACTTGGCATATCAAGTTACAGTAAGACTAAGCACCTCTCCACGTATTAAGACTGGGCAAAATGACCCAGTATGGAGAGTAGGGTCCCAAAAGCCAGTAAAACAGTCAGAGACCGTATCTGTTCCCATTGTTAGGAGTCCTACAAGAGAATCAAGGCACACAACTGTAACATATGTATAGAGTGTCTCATGCAGGCTCCCTGGTTGTTGGTTCAGTCTCTGTGAGCCCCCCTGAACGCAGGTTAGTTGATTCTGCGAATTTTCTGGTGGTGTCCTTCCCCTCTTTGGCCTCTGCAATCCTTTCTTCCCCTCTTCCATAAAATTCCCTGAGCTCACATAGTGTTGCTTGGCTGTGGGTCTGCATTTGTTCCCATCAGTTGCTGGATGAAGCCTCTCTGATGGCAGTTGGACTGGGCACCAGTCTCGTCACAGGAGATGGCCTGTTTAAGCTAATGTTTTTCTTTTTAAGAGAATGTCTGTCACTGAACCTGGAGCTCACCAACTAACCAGTAAGCCTTACAGATTTTCCGGCCTCTACCCTCTCCAGCACGGAGATTACAAGTATGACCTTCACACCTGGCATTTTTCATGCTTAGTGGGGATCTGAATTCAGGTTTGTGACTTTTTTTTTTCTCACACAGTTTTCCCAGGTGCTGGCTTATGATTTTTTGAAGTGCAAGTAGAAGCCCACAGTGGGGTGAGGATCAAGGCTCCATATTGGCACCGAACCATCTGCTCTTTCGTTGGCAGAATAAGGCTCAGACTCAAGGTTAACTACAGTAGGCCAAACCCTTCCCACGGAGGCCTATGCTTATGTATCAAGATATGAGCCTTGAATATTTGCTGAAAAATAATTCAATCTATTGCAATTATCAATATTTAATGGAAGTCCTCTATTTACAAATTTAAGCATTTATGCATGAATTATTTAGTGTGCCTTTCCCTTTATTTCTTTCGTTTTTCTCTTGAGTTTGTTAATTATCAGTATGCTAGATTAGCTAAAAAATGTTTTCTTAGTAAGACAGCTACGTAGAATTTTTAGAAGAACTTGACTTTGAATAAACCTTTTGCAGAACAGCCCGAGGGGGCCAGCCTAGTCCTCACCCTGCTTCTGGAGGAAGGGTTTCATGGGATGTGGGTCTGAGGGTCTTATTTGGTTTTGAGGCTATGCGCTGTGCCACCTGGTATTGGCCAGAAGTGCAAGCATCCCACCTCCCCAGATGTGTGCACGACTCCAGAGCTCTGATTACAGCGTCACCTCTCCCCTGTCACCAACTGGCAACTCCAGGCAAAGGATGTTTTTCTGATCATTTTGCACTCATTAAGTGCAGCTGTCACAACAGTGGAAGCTGGGATGCATGCAAAACTTTTCTGCTATGTCAAAATAAGCCGAGACGCCTTTAAAAAAAAAGATACAAAACCTTTGAAGCTTATTCTCCAAGAGTATTGAAGGTTTCACCTTTTGTTGTTGACAATGAAGACGGTTCCATGGAACCTAGATTAAATCTTGGCCCAGTCTAAAGGAGTATCATCCATCACAGGTATGGAACAGAAGCATTTGGCTAAGCATTTTAGGCTCCATCATTCGATTCCTGGGTCCCAGTGACCGGTTTTCATTGATTCGACTAATTTCTGCTAAGTTGATAAGGGGAGACTCACAAGGAAATGCTATATGGAACAAATAAATGAGTATCTACTACGTATCCTAATAGGGAATTCAAACAAAGGAGGAAAATTCTGGAGTCCCAAGCAGACCCACTGTGTAAGCTCTCAGGTGGGAAGATGGGTCTATCATGATTTTGATGTGGGCCTCACAGGCCTTTTCAGTCATACCCGTGCCCTCATGGGAGCCACTGATAAGGATTATGGATGTTACTGATACACCTGCTGATGGAGTCCTCCTAAATCTTCCTGTGACTTACTCTGGACCAAATCAAAAGTTGGCTCTGGCCTTTTAATCTCTGGGAAACTGATGTGGGATTCCCTTCTGTATGCTGTGAATATGTTTTATTGCCATTGGTTAGTAAAGAAGTTGCTTTGGCCAATGGCAGTCCAGAATATAGCAAGGTGGGAAATCCAAGCAGAGATAGAGGAGGAAAGAAAGCAAAATCAGGGAGACTCCATATAGCTGACAAAAGAAAAAGATGCTAGAACCTTACTGGTTTGTCACAGCTTTCTGGTGATACATAGATTAATAGAAATGGGTTAATTTAAGATGTAAGACCTAACTAGAAACATGCCTAAGACATCAGCAACAGTGTTGTAATTCATACATTTTCTATGTGGTTATTTGGGTTTGGGTGGCCGGGAAACAGAAGTGCAGTCTCCGATTACAGGGAAACCTTCACTACACAACCCTAGGCTGGGTGACAGGACCATCTTTTGTGTTTCCTCCATCTTTTTTGCCCAATTGTTCTGGAACCTCTGGCTCATGGATCCATGCCAGGCTTAGATTTTTGAGAGTAAGGTCTGCCAGATTTAGCATTACCTGTGACCCGCAGAACTAGTGATGGAGGACAGAGACAAGAAAGAAGGGAAGGGGTGAGGAAGGGAGAGAGAAGAGCAGTAGAACCAGGTGATTGCAAGGAGGGGTGGTAGATCTTTCAGCCTCATGCTGCTGTGTACACCAGTGAAAACTGAAATGACTTGTGAGGGCCACATCCAAATTGTGATAGACCCACCACATTCTTGTTTCTGTCTGTCTCTTCTCTGCTTGTGAGAGTCACAGCATGGGGTCCTAGGCATTTTGGAAGCAGTTCTGGTTAAATAACAGAAGCTCTCATCCCTGGGTAAGGTTTCAAGAGCTGCCCCCACCTACAATATTTGTAGAAGTGGTGTGGGATAATTGTCTGTATTCTGTCAATCATGTTTTAAATAAACGTTGATTGGCCAGGTAGGAAGTATAGGCGGGTCAACCAGACAGGAAGTAGAGGCGGGGCGATGAGAAGCTCTTCCTGCAGTTCTGCCCAGATCACCGAAGAAGCAAGATGTGAACTGCCTCGCTGAGAAAGGTACCGAGCCATGTGGCTAACATAGATAAGAATAATGGGTCAATATAAGCTACAAGAGCTAATAAGTATCCTGAGCTAATGGGCCAATCAGTTTTAGAACTTATGGAGATCTCTGTGTGATTTTCTTTGGGGCTTGCCAGCTGTGGGGAACTGGGCAGGACCTAAATCCCAACAAACAGGCCCCTTTATGTTACATAGAAGTACTTCCTATTTGTGACAGGCAACCAAGGATCCCTGCCCCTGTGGACAGATCCCAACAGAGAACTAGAATCTCTGTGATTCTAGAATCACATTGTGAGAATGTAGAATCCTGGCAGTGAGAGCCAAGTGGCTCATCAATCTGGACATCCCCACTCTTCAGTCACAAGGTGGGACACTCATTTCAGTGACCCAAAGCCAGCTGCCGGCATGAGCTTGGCTTCCTGCTTGTTCTTCCTTCCTGGGACAATTGATGGTAAATCAAGGAAAATGAGCATGAATCTGAGATGTGGTTTCTACCACGATGCGATGATGGTGAGAAAAATCTACAGAACAGATAGAAACAGTGAAATAGATGGAGTTAGAGATGAAAGCCTGCATCCTTTAGTGGTCCTGTTGCCTTCTCAGTACGTACTGGGGGCAGGAATGAAATGAAAAGGAGCAGGGTCCTTGTAGGGAGAGTGCAGCTGAGCTTGACGTGTTTCAGGGTGTTGGAGGAGCCACCAGGAAAGGTGTCCTTTGCCTTCCCTTGACTCTTCCACTCTGTGGGAAGTGAGAAACATATTTGCTTTATTTCTACACAAATCCATTTTGACTGACGGCTTTTCTTACTAGTTGAGTAGCTCTTATCTAAAATTCTTGGGAGTAGAAGCACTGTAGCTCTGTAAGAATTCTAGAGTATTTGCATGTACACCTGGGCTGACTTGGGGATGGGATCCAAGCCCCAAACCATAAAATTTGCCTATATTTTATGTGCACTTTATAGAGATAGGCCAAAGGGTCTCTTTGTGCAGTATTTTCAGTTGACCTATGTTTTGATGCTGCTTAGGAGGCCAAGGGGAATTCTCCACCTATGATATCACATCTGCACTCAAAACATTTTGGGTTTTGGAGCATTTACGGTTTTGGATTTTTGAAATAGGCATAGTCAACCTGTACCTCAAAATTTTGAAATCACACAAAAGTTAAGCTGAGAAGCTGGGAATTGTCTGTCTTTCAAACTTGGGAAAGGCAGGCACACAGACGGCAATGTCCCAAGGCAGCTGTTGTGAGATGCGTGCCTTGGAGAGGAATACGTCTGTGCTCTCAGGCCCACAGCAGGTAGTCATGTGCAGGCACAGGGCATTCCCTTGACTCCCCTGGGGTAGAGGAGGAGGAGGAAGAGGCGGCAGAGGAGATACAGAGAAGCAGAGTGGGCTGAGATGGAAGCAGGACCATCATCCATGGCTTCTTGAACCATGCTTTCTCTACCCATGCTGGGCTTTGGGACTCAGGTGGGCTGTGAATGTAAATGTCCTTCATGACCTGGCAGGAACTATGGAGATGACTGAAGAAGCAGCTTGTGGGCAGGGAGTCATGCTGGCTGTATCCTGGTCCTTCTCTTGCTCCGTCCTTTGCTGTTCCCAGTCCTTCACAGTGTCGAGCTGACGGCTATGTCCCGGCAGGATGGCCACCCGTATGCCATCCCGTAGGCATCTCAGCCAGTTATTTCAATTATGTTGCTCATGCCTGTCTTAAAAGTAGAGTCTATGCCTTTTATATTCAATACAGAGGATTCACTATTCAATATAATTGGAAATATTTTTTGAGTATTGTTTGAAAACTCTTAAGTATTGCTTAGGAAGCCCCAAGGTAAAACGGTTGCCGGGAAAGGAACCCCGAAGACTGCAGCTCACTTGAAGCCAACGGCCAACCCCCCGCCCCCCAAATCAGGGCGAGCATCGGCCTAGTGTGCGGAGGACCACTCCACACTCGGGAGATTTTAGAATTTATCTTTTCATTAACGAATGCTTTGGAAAGTGCACTGTCCCTAATTCCCTGCGTTGAAAGATGGAAACTTTAATGTTCAGTTAATTAAATGTTGTGTTGATTCACAAGCCCTGAGCTCTGTGAGGCCTCGGGGAGGTGGAGGCAGGTTTAGAAATCAAACAACTGGAGGGCTGGCTGGCCCCATCTGACCACAGAGCAGGCAGCACTGTTTGCTATACATGCCCCGAGGCCTTGGAGCCATCTCTGTGGCCAGGACTGAGTTCCAAGGCCCACGATTCCCTCTGGTCTGCTGTGTTGACTGGAGAGAGAAGTGGGGTCGAGGCAACAGGTCTGGGCTTTGGGACAGGAGGAGCCTGCCTTGCCTCCCTCTCTCTGGCGGCATGACTTTCAGATGAACTCTTCTCTCTCCCCTCTCCCTTTCCCGGTGCACCAGCCATCTTTCTGCCGAGCTGAGCTCAGCCACACTGGAGTTCTTTCCGCAACAAACCGAAGCCCCCAGCTGTGGTGCTGGCTGCAGCCCACAGACACGCTGGCCTTTTTTTCACTGTTGTTGATCGGGCGAGTGGGAAGTTGCTGAGGGGAGTTGTGTGCAAAGCAAAGTGACAGCCAGCCTAGGTTAGGGGACATAGACTGGGGTGGCGTTGGGGGGGAGGGTGTAGTGCAGAAATAATAAAAACCTAGAGACAGATTTTGGGGTTCAAGCTGAAAGATCTGGGAAGCAAAGCAGCCAACCACTAGAGAGTTCTCACCTCTACAAAATCTTCGGACTGAAAAGAGAGCAAATTCCTGTCTCCTCCCACCTTATACTCCTCTCTAGTGCTGAGATTAAAGGTGTGCATTGTTACCATCTGGCCTCTAAGGCTAACGAGTGTGGCTACTGGGATTAAAGGTGTGGCCACCACTGCCTGGCCTGTATGGCTGACTACTGTGGCTAGCTTTGCACTCTGATCTTCAGGCAAAATTTATTTTTTTAAAAACACAAATAAAATACCACTATAGGGGTACTTGAGAGAAATGCAAGAGTCTTTATAATAGAGGGCTTAGTGGGGGATACATCCCTCCCTCACCCTCATTTTTTTCTTTAAGAAAAAAAAATTGACTGACATATAACTATGCTACTTTGGAATGGGGTAGCATGATAATTCTAAACATCTTACAATGATCATATCAACATAATTTCCATTTCCATTTGCTTGAACATTGACTGTTCAGTGTTCCGTGGAGTCTGGTCCGCTCCCTTCTAGTCTCTGGTTCAACTCATGACAAGCTGCTGTGGACTACGGTCACCCTTCTGTGTTGCAGGGCACCGATACCCAGTTCTCTTAGCTAGTGGAGTTCTGAGACAGGGAAAGGAAAGTTCTGTACGTGGGAAAGGAGTGGTTCTCTTTTGAAGAGAGAGTATAGCTCGCTCCAAGTACAGAGCACTTGTGAACAGCGACAAACTTCTCATCCGTTTGGCCCCAACTAAAGGCACAACTTATGTAGCTACCAAATGACAACTTGCAGGGTTATCTGCCACCAGAGCCTGCCTCCCTCAGCTCCATGCACCTGGTGCAAGTGAGCTTGCTTGCCATTTTGGCACCATATTCCTCCCTCTGGTCATCTTAGTTAATATGCTCCCAGAAGAACTGGCAGAGATGTGAGGGCTGAAGGCTCAACGGTGCTACTATCTTTCTTATTATGAATAAAAAATTTAAACCCAAGCTGATAAACATATTTTTTTTCACGCTGAATTCATCAGGAATACATTAACATTTTCTAAAAGGTAAAGAGAGGGAAAAAATGAAAGAATTGAAAGGAGAACATTGGGATGCGTTTGCCAGATAGCATCTTTGTTTCCCTCAGCCCCTGATCCTGAGCCAGGGCGTCACCCCCATAACTAACACACCGGGAAGGAACCTATGGACCCACGATCACTCCTCCGGAGCAGAATGCATTCCTGGTAGCGCAGCCTCGCTCATCCCCGGGAAGAGGCATGGCGGAGTGAGAGCGCGCAGCGTGCTTTGCATAGGCTTCACGAAAGGATCCAGGCAGAGCAGGCTTTGCAGCATTAGCTATGATCATATATGGAAAAAGCAGTTCCTTTCTGGGGGTAACATATGGCTGAGTTGGTGTGATGCCCAGGAATCTCAATGTCCCTCCCAGGAGGGTGAGCCCTGGCTCCATTCTTCACCCATGACATCCTGGGGACAGACCTGTGCAAGCTCACCAGTGAAGAAAATCGCATCCACCTGTGCCAAGACCAAAGCTGTTTTGGGTCCTGGTGCTTGGCAGTTGCTGAGTTCCCTTCTGTGGTGATGACTTTTCCTAAATCGAAGGAATTGTGAATGGAGCCCGAACCCATCTGTCTGAAACCCTAGCATGGTGAGAGTCTACGGTAAACAGCAGTAGTCACTGGGACAATAGCACAGAATGCTTTTTACCAAAGGTGCTGTCACCTGCAAAGGAAGACGAGTTCAGCTTGTTCTCACACAGCGGTGTAGCCTCAGACTCGCTCCAGGTGCGTTCAGTTCCAGTCAAGAAGTCATAAAACCTGTCCCCACTCAAGGGTTGTGAGACTTGTCGCTTCCGTCTGTTTATTCGCTTAGCTGACCCTGAATTTACTCAATGAGCCCTCTTGACATCAGCCCTATACTCAGAATAGGGACACAGGACAAGGCCTGCCAAGGGAGGACTCAACACTTGTAGATGGCTTTGAGAACTGAGTGGAGCGGACAGGTGCTGTCACTCTGGACCAACTTCTCCTTAGGGTCCTGCTGGGGGCCATTCCTAGTTGCCCACATTTCACAGTCCTGTGGCTCCCTGCACTGGAGACAGAGGTACACCTCCCCCTCAGGCTGATGCTGTGGTTGTCAGAATTGGATAGAAACTTTGTGAGAGAATCAAGCAGGCCCCCCGGGGGCTCCCAACACTCAGAAGGTGCTGCTGGATGAGAACGTGGAAGGAGTAAGACAGCTCTAGAGCTGGGCTGTGGAGTATTAAGTTGTAACACGAGGGCCTGCTTGTTGGGGTTTCTGTCCTGCCCAGTTCCCACAGCCGTTAGCCCCAAAGAAATCACACAGAGGTCTATATTAATGATAAACTGATTGGCCCATTAGCTCAGGCTTCTTATTAACTCTTATACCTTATATTAACCCATTATTCTTATCTGTGTTAGCCACATGGCTCAGTACCTTTTTCAATGGGCAGGTCACATATTCCTTCTTCGGTGTTTGGACAGGACTGGGGAGGAATGGGTTTCCTCCTTTCCAGAATTCTCCTGTTCTCATTGACCCGCCCGTACTTCCTGTCTGTTGTCCTGCCTATACTTCCCGCCTGGCTACTGGCCAATTAGCATTTACTTAAAGCATAACTGACAGAATATAGACAATTGTCCCACACCATTAAGTCATGTTCAGCAGCCTCTCCAGTCCAATGTTCTCCCATGTGAGTTATTTTGGCCTGCCTGGGGTGGAGATTCACTTTGGACTAGAGTTCTAAAAAGAGCCCATTGGGGGGCCATTTTGATAAGTGAACTAGAAGGAGGAAAAATGCATGGACTTGGAGGCTGTGGATCCATAAGGAGCTGAGAGGTCTGCTCCGTGATGGACAGAGGGAAGGGCATGTTGGAGACAAGGGCAGGGATTAGAAGAGAAGGGATGCCAGGAGGGAGGGAGGGAAGGAGAAGGGGAGAGGGGAAAAGAGTAGGGGGAGAAGGAAGAGGTAAGAAAAGGGCCGAGTGAGATGGTGATGACTTTGTGTGAGCAACAGTAAGGGAAACTGACGTGGCAGAGACTTCCCACAGAAGTGGAATCACCTCCGTGATGAGGACAAACACACTGAAGTGATGTTCTCATTTCCACGCAGCGTGGGACACCTAGAATTGGCCCTATTTCCCAAGTCCCCACCACTTTGGAGCCCTTCAACACACACCCAGTGGTGTGTGCTTCTCTGTCACATGCCCAAGTCAGAGAAGCATGGGAAGGAGGTGGCTTGTCTCCTCTGTCCATCACACAGAAGCCTGTGTGGCTGAGGCTGACCTAAGTATGGACAAGAGAGAAGCTTGTGGCTTTAGTTGGTACTTTGGCTGGGCCTGCCTGCCCACCATGTGGCAGAGGAGGTGGAAGAGATAGCTGAGGCTGTTGGACGGGCTGTGGGCCATAGCATGAGGCACACAGAGCAGGTCCTTGGTGTGCAGGAGCTCTGTGGATGGAGGCCGTTAGAGAGCCTTTCACTCCACCACTCTAGCTAGTTCCTTCTGAGCGGTTGCATTATGGGATCTTGGTGGCTTCCATTGCACTGGCTTTTCATCAGTGCCCTGGGGCAGGCACATGCTCCCCTGACTTGCTTTTATGGATTTAATCATCAGGAAGTCCTTAGCAAATGGTTCATCATGCCATGTTTTGGTTCAGAGTAGGAAAACAGAGATGTTATCAATAGTAGGGACCCTGTCCCACCTGTGTTGGGTCGGGGAGACTTCCAGTTATATCCTTTGCTTAGGTGTGGCCCTGAGGGGTCCAAACCTCTTCCTGACAGCTTTCTAGGAAAGCAGCAGGGTCAGCTCTGAGGACAATGAACTCCTCCACACAGAGAGTCATGGTTTTCTTGCCCTTTGAAAGTGCTTGTCTTAGCCCCTGACTTAAGACGTCACTGGCTGCTAATTTCAGGCTAATTCTGCCATTCTCAAGAGCCGTGTTCTGGGGATACACAGTGGACATAACTTGCACTCAGAGCCTAGGACACATAAAGTCTTCTCTTGTGGTTCTGTCCAGGCACTGCAGTGGTCCAAACCGATTTCTGTAATCCTACGTATTTGTG